ACCGGTAACGTTAAACTTGATCCGGTAGCTAATCAAGCAAACAAGCAAAACTTTATTTCGTACATATTAGGAGTCCGTAAAATAACATAACATTAGAAGAAATACAATAATAAACAAAAATAATCATCCAACATTAAGATAACTGTACATTGTAATAACAAACTAGGACTGTCCTTGATAAAAACGTAAACACTACAAGCCTTGCATTCCACTGATGAGCTAACGGTAACTAGATCAGTGCTACCCTCGCAAAGCTGTCGATATGAGTGCAATTCCAGTCTGTGATTCATTAAAGCAACAGAACTAAACAAGACTCACCTGTTTTATCTTCACTCCTGAAAGTAGATTCTGAAGGTGCTGAGCGAAGCAGAGCTGCAAGAAATTAAAAATAGTCCTATCCCATTTGTCTGCTCTCTTACCTCCTCAGGAAGCTGCAGTCACGGGATGTGAGCAGAGTGGGAGAACAGAAGTCTGGTCATTTCATGCCGAGATTTCTTTACATGTAACTGCTGCTATTTTGCCACGGGTTGTTAAAAAGTACACTTTCACCACGTGGGACCCGTTTTCTAAAGATCCTCGGTATATATGACTTGAAATTAAATACAGAAGGGTAACAGTCACTGCGTTTCCCTCGTGGCTGCTCATAATTTACCGTTGATGTTCATATTTACGAGCTGTAAAATGTGAACATGGAACGCAGCTTGTACCACTTCCTGTTTAATGTTGATTTGCTGCCACATGCTGACCGTCTGCACTGTTATTATAATAATGTTATTATACTGATAACTTGGTAATATGTTAATATTAAAAATATAAATACAGTCACTAGATATTACTCAAACATATTACAACCACATTCTAAACCTTCAGGTTATGGTGTAACTTCCCATGATAGACAATAACTGGCACTAATTTGAGAGTTGATTTTTTTTGTTACCATATATATATATATATATATATTATTACCACAGTATTTACATATTGAGCCAGTTGTTTGAATACGAAAATTACACATTAATTCACAATGAAAGACTACCACTAAAGAAAGGACAAACTAAATCTTGTGTAGTTCAATGTGCCACATAAATATTCAGTAGTGTGATGGTGAACCCAGTGAGCAGCCCTGCGTTTTGGATCAGGAAGAAGACAATCTTGGTGGAAGTTCCAAAAAAAGGATGAATGTTACAAAATTTATAAAAACAAAACAGCCTCTATGCATTTAATTCTAAGTAATGAAACAATCAAATTACTTTCAAGAAGCTCAATCAACACAGACCCTTTAACAGCATGATTGTGGACATAGCAAACATTTCTAAACTAACAGGGGTGTAATGGTTCTGAAACCAAACCCAGAACTACAATACAGATGTCCATGGTCTTGGCAGACAGAACCACAAACCCTATACCCCCCCACTCCCACCCACTGATAGTGGGTGAGAGGTGGGGTCCACCCTGGATAGGTCGCCAGTCTATCACAGGGCTGACACTTAGAGACAGACAACCACACACACTCGCACTCATTTCTACAGGCAATTCAGAGTCACCAGTCAACCTAAGCTGCATGTCTGTGGGAGGAAGCCGCAGCACCCAGAGGGAACCCACGCAGGCACAGGGAGAACATATAAACTCCACACCAGGTCGGCCGGGGCTTGAACCCGGAACCTTCTTCCTATGAGGTGAGAGCGCTACCTAGGGAATGTTATAAGAAGCGTTTTGTGTGGACTCGGTGAACAGTTACAACACTATAAACTAATTTTATATGTAACTTCTGTCTGTTGAGAAATCAGTAACAAATGACCAATCTGATCTGTGTAACAAGAGAAAACATGCCTAACTTTGTACTGAAACTGTGCAGGCTCCACACATTTGTTCTGAGTGACTGGCTGATTTAAAAGCAATGCATGCCCAGAAAACAGAGAAAATGGAAAGATTACAGTCACCCTGGAAAGTTGCACAGTCACTTTCAGTGCCTATTTGGTGTCTGCTTGTAAATCCAGCCTGTACTGAAAGGTAATTAAGTTCATGATTTTGCGATAAAACACAGGACGAATAAACTCTCCTATCTTCACATAGCCCATGCCCTCATACAGCTTCTGAGCAGCTGTCTGCACCACAGAGGTGCAGAGGATGACTGCTAAGTAACCTCTGTCACGAGCAAAATCAGCTACTGTCTGACACAGAACCTTAGCGATGCCCATCCTGCGGTGACTGTGGCGTACAGACATGCGTTTTAGCTCCATGCACTCAGGTGCACTCCCAGAAGGGAGGCAAGCCACCATGCCGACCACCAGGCCGTCAATTTCAGCCACCCAAAAGCACGAGTCCTTCTGCTTCATGTATGCTTCACTGATGTTGTTGAGGTCCTTCCTGAGTGAGGTGTTGACATAATTGTTGAACAATTTGAGGACAAACTGCCGTGCCCCAGCCAGGAGCAGAGTGACGGCCAGGATGGGTAGCAGGAAGGACTTGGAGGTGGTCAAGAGGGCGCAGAATGTGCACATGAGCACCATATGTGTCACTGGCTGTTTCAGAATGTGCATGAAGCATGAAGGCACGTGCTCGTTCATCCCCATGGCGAAGAGCTCCTTCACGACCTCTGCGTCATCTTCCCGATATTTGCGGATCTGAATATTGGCCATGGCTCAGCCCTGCTTTACAAAACAAAGGGAAGTCAAAATGTGAGAGGTGACAAACTATGGGACACTAGATAAATCAATATACAATCATATATTCTTTCCTTTGTCCAATTTTTTTTACCTTTTCAGTATCACAGCATGTTGAAGCCTGTCCCTGGATTTCTAAATTGTGCTCACATTTAAATAATCAGTTTCCTAACTGATTAGTCCACTACAAGGTAGCAAATCAACACAGTGATTTATTTAAAAAAAATTTACAAAAATATTCTCCATTTGAGATATACTGAGTTTTACTTTGGGCTTTTACCATAATTCAGTTCATACAGGATTTTTGATGCTGATGCCAATATTGAGATTTGAGGATTTAAAAAAATCTGATAATAATACATCTGTCGATATTATCTTAACACAACCAACCCGTAATATAAACAAATCTTTTTTGATAACGCTCTCTTAAATTCGTTTTTTAACACTTTACACTAAAAATGAGCCGAAAAGAATTTTTTTACAAATCTACATTTCACTATTCCCTAATGACGGTTTCAAATCAAATCTTTTGGCTTGTTTGTCTTTATTGGCTGTATCTGCAATGAGCTAAAATCACTGCGGTCAAATCATCCGCCGTTCAGTTTTCTGTGGTCAAGCCAGCCGCGCTAGAATTTGAAGTGCGCCTATATACTCTATATACTTACATTTACGGTAAAGGTATTGAAAGTTCATAATTAATCCAGCATTGGAGTCACATCTTTAATGTGAGTTTTCTCTAGAATGGTACAGTGGTAACAGTGCGGGTCATGTAGAATCTATAAATGATGTCCTTATGCTGTAAATATTTAAAAAAAAAAAGTGTTTTTATTAAACTTGGAAGTTCATAATTAATCCAGCATTGGAGTCACATCTTTGATGTGAGTTTTCTGTAGAATGGTACAGTGGTAACAGTGCGGGTCATGTAGAATCCATAAATGATGTCCTTATGCTGTAAATATTTTTAAAAAGTGTTTTTATTAGGCTTGAAAGTTCATAAATAATACAGCATTGGAGTTAAAGTATTTTATTTTGAAAATCGCGAGCTTTGCACCGTTTCAATGCCTTTACCGTAAATGTAAGTACAAAGAGTATATAGGCGCACTTCAAATTCTAGCGCGGCTGGCTTGACCACGGAAATCTGAACGGCGGCTGATTTGACCGCAGTCTAAAATCGGCCGAAACATCGAGCTAGCTGACTTACTGGTCGGACTATAAATCTAAAGACAACACTGTGGGTTCTGGTAGCCTGACAAGACTATATACTAAAAGTAATTAAGCTAATTACTATAAGTAATTAAGCAAATGATCTGAGTACTTCCAACACCATGAATATCAGGTTGATGTTACAGCAGATGGCAGTTCAGACCTTTGATCCCCATGAGGCTCACACTACCAACCAAATCAACAGAAGTTAAATTATTATCCCTTTTAACTTTTTTATCCGTTTAACTGGTAACTAACCAATCAAGCAGGCAAAACTTTATCTCGTATAAATTAAGGCTCCGTAAAATTACAAAAGGAGGAATACAATAATAAATAAAAAGCAATCATCCAACATTAAGATAACCGTATACTGAAATAATAAATGACGTATCTCCTTGACAGAAACGTAAATACTACAAGACTTTGCATTCCACTGATGAGCTAACATCAGTGCTAGTGATTCATTAAAGCATTAGAAATGGTAAATAAACAAGACTCGCCTGTTTTCTGAAAGTTGGTTCTGGAGGTACTGAATGAAAAATCTCATGTCATTTGTCGGCTAGCTTACTTCCTCAGCCGCAGTCACGGAATGTGGTCAGAGTGGGAAAAGGGAAGTCTGGTTATTTCGTGGGGGGATTTCTTTAAATGTAACCGCGGCTGTTTTGCCATGGGTTTGTTAAAAAGTACATTTTTACATTGGGCCCGTGTTCAAAAATCCCCGGTATATCTCTAAATTAAATACAGGAGGATAACATTCATTGCGTTTCCTTGCTCATAATTTACCGTCGATGTTCATATTTACGAGCTGTAAAATGTGAACCTGGAACGCAGCTTGCACCACTTCCTGTTTAATGTTGATTTGCTGCCACATGCTGACCAACTGCATGTACTACACCTTAAACATTACAAGCACATCTAAACCTTCACCACCTAAAGTTATTATGGTGTAACTTCCCATGACTGACAGTAACTGGCACTAATTTGAGAGCTGATTATTTTTGTTGTTACCATATAGAAACAAGAGAGCATTACCGAGTTGTTCAGTTTGTTTTCAGTGTCATGATTTCTGCTTTAATCACCTTTAACCCCCCTGGTGACCCACTTAAACAGGCTCCTATCTCCGTCATATATCATTTTAGAAATTAAAGCTATCCCAACAAATCTAAATATTTTAATCAATTTATTATTTGTTTCACCATTATAGGCAATAAAAAAATAACAAATATATATTTAAAAAAATTAAAGATCCTGTGTAATTTAGCAGATGTTTTTGTTTAGAAACCCCAAGAAAAAAATTTATTTACAGTATAATCTTTTAAAAAGACAGTGGTTTGTATACAAAGAGAAAAAGACAAAGCAATAAAAAATTAAAATGTACTGTAAATTAAGAAAATTCAAATATTGTATATGATTGGTCCATTTTCATTGTTGAGATGTGTTGTTTATCTTGACTCTTTGGTATTTAGGATGCATTCTGTACATATAAACAGTTGGCAGTTTATTAGGAACACAAAGTTAAAACTAATGGCGTCTAATACAACAGTGCTACAAAAACATCCTCCTTCATGAAGGTGATCATTTTGTTCCTAATGTTTTAGAGAGCCACTGTTTCCAGTGTTTGATCATTCTGGAGGCTGTTGAATTGTATTTTGTTATACTGACAGTTGTTTCCATTATTTTGTCCATCTCATTTATCACTGAGGCTAGACTACACAACAGAAACAGCTCTCTGTATAGTACAGTACAGTTTAACAGCAGCACAAATTACAGCCTCCAAAACGATCATTTCTGTGAAACAAAACCTTTGTATTAGACTACACAATTTTGGCAAGGTATACCTAATAAAACGACAACTGAATATGTATAGTATGTATGTATGAGTATGTACAGACAAAAAGCTCCAACTATACAACCTTGGAAAATATCCAGTGAAGGTCAGGGAGGTCACAAAATACAGTGCAATAAATGCAACATATATCACAATACATGAAGATAAATTAATTATTGTATCTTTAAAACTAATTTGACTAGATTTCACACATCATGATTGTAGAGATTTTCCCATTTTCTGTAGTAAACACTTCACTAAATTGATAGTCAAAACATATAGATGGTTAGTTCTCTTTAAGTGTTTAGTATTTTTTGTACAAAACATTCACTTTGTCACTTTCCCTCCCAGCTGAGTGAGCTATGAGCACAAAGGGCAACAGCTCACAGTTTGTTTTGCTCTTTCTCCTTCTCCTAGCCCAGGTTGATGTCCCCTGCAAACATGGTGATCAGTAGTATGACAGTGAACCCGGTGAGCAGCCCTGCATTCTGGATCAGGAAGAAAATGACCTTGGTGGAAGTCCGGTGGTGTCCACGTGCTATGCTATGCATCTCTGGAAGCTGTGATGAACAACAACAAGCAGATATCTGTGTCATACACAATCCTTTAACAGACTTTGGTCTGATTGTACAACACGCAATGTACGCAGGCACCCCTCCCCCCTCGTGTTCCTGGTATTTGATTTTAGTATTACCCTCTTTAGCTCCCCACCAGTCAATCACAACCAAAGAAGCTTCTCAGATTAGATGTGAAACATCTTCAGGAGCCTCAAGCAAGTCCAGTTGCCAGTTTGGATATACCATGGCCTGGATGACCGAGAAACTACAGACATATAGTTAAAAGATGCACTATATGTTGTTGTATTTCATCTTTTCATTGGATTTGCTGACATTAAGAAACATATAACTGTAAAGTCAATAACTGCTACACTCCTGAACTACTTTTGATGCAACATAGAAGAACTGGCACAGAGTCCAGGGCCTTGTTGGTAATAAATTTTAAAAAAGCATTAACTCAATAGCACAACACACTCAGACATCGTCAGATACAAAGGGGAGCAACTGCAAAACCTCCAAATGCTGGTTTTCTTCACTATCCTGAGCTTATGTATTCTAACTCACCATGTCTGCCAGTGCAATATAGAGGAACATTCCACCTGCAATGGCAAAGATTGGATTGGGGGCAAAGCTGCTCCCCAGCAGGATTCCAAGCACAAGGCCCACATAACACGACATCGCTGACAGCAAGTTGAAGAAAATGGCTTGTGGGATTTTCATTCCA